AGAGAAAGAGAGAGAGAGAGAGATGCTTTAAGCAGGTGTCCAGGAATGGCTTCATCTTCAGGGGACACTTGAGTAAAGACCTGAAGAAGGTGACAGACAAGCTGTGTGGGTATATGGAAGAATGCTGTTTTGGGCAGAGGCCCTGAGAGGTCCGTGTGTCTGGGATGTTTCTGGTCCACAAACAGCCCAGAGGCCTAGGGCTCTAGAGGGTGGGCTGGAGGAGGGGAGCAGTAGGGGGGATCTGAGAGGTAAAGGGCGTAGGGAGGACATCAGGGAGCCCTTGCAATGGTCCTGGCTTAAGCAGGGAGTATTCAGACACGGTTCCAGCACCCAGACATCCGTGATCATGCAGGTAAGCTATGGACATCTGCAGTCACAGGGAGAAGCTTGGTTATACATGTTTATAGCATCCTCCTCTTTCATGCCTTGAAAACAAATTCCATGTTAAATTTTTTTTTCAAAAGCAAACTCAAGCTTTAAGAATTCAAAACCCAATAGATCCTAGCTAGCAATTCTACTTCTGTATATATACCAAAAGAATTGAAGTCAGGGACGCATATGAATGCTGTTCTTAGTAGTAGTATTCACAATCACCAAAAGGCTGAAACAACCCGTGTCCAACGAGGGATGAATGGATTAACAAGGGTGATCTATACATACAATGGAATATTATTCAGCCTTGAAAGGGAAGGAAATTCTGACATTCGCTACAAGTAGATGAATGAACTCTGAGGACATTGTGCTAAGTGAAACAAAAGGACAAATACTGCATGATTCCACTTATATGATGTATCTAGATAAACATTCATAGAACAGAAGGTAGAATAGAGGTTATGGGGGCAGAGGGAGAAGACGATGAGAATTACTGTTTAATGGATACTAAGTTTCAACTCGGGATGATGAAAAAGTTCCCGAGATGGATGGTGGTGATGGTTGCACAACAACGTGAATGTATTTAATGCCACTTAAAAATCCAGTTATGGAATAAAAAGCACAGCACAGGGAAAAGAGTCAATGGCATCGTAATAGTGATGTATAGGGAGAGATGGTAGCTACGCTTCTGGTGAGCACAGCATAATTTACAGAGTTGTTGAATCGCTGTGTTGTACACCTGAAGCTAATGTAACGTTGTGTCAAGTACACTTCAAAAACAATTACTTGAAGTGTTTAAAATGGTAGATTTTGTTATTTGTATCTTACCATGATTTAAAAAAAATAAAAATCAATTTTTAAAAACAAAAATACCCCAATACATCTTATTCCCATGGGAAAATATATTTTTTTTTTTTTTTGGTCTCCAAAACAATCTCTTGGAAAATGGTATCAACAGCAATAACATCTTGTAGCTTCTAAATCAGCTTTGGAAGTTGCGGAGTACTTTGTGGAACAGAGAACAGGAAACAGGGTCTGTCTAAACACAAGGGAAGGAAACAGTCATTTCCCTGCTTGTCTTCAGCACTGTTTATGTAAAAATATTCTGCCCTCTGAGATGTTTTGACTTTTGGTATCCTCCTCCTAGGCAAGTCGGAAACCCTGAGGGTTGACATCTTTACTCTTTGTTTCTAAGCAACGACTGAAAGTCAGGGTACGAAAAAGAATTTTTAATTAAAGAGAACAGAGCAAGAAATAGAATCTCAATTTTATCTCTTTCCCACATCACCTCCCAGGCAGGAATTCAGGCACTTGAAGCTACGTAATTTTTCCCAGTTTATAAACCAAGGACTTAATTAAGTTTCTTAAGATTTCTATACCCTTTGGCAAATTATTTCCTCTGTCATAAACATCTTCCTTGGATCCCAAAAAAGTTTAAGAAATAATTATAACATACTTGATAACACAAAAGTCCTTTGAATTGAAAAGCCCTTGAATCAACAGCAGTTTATTTCTGTTACTGTATTTTAATTCTTCTACTTGCAGAAAGAACTCAAATTAAAAAAAAAAACATACACACACTTTTATTCTGTATCACCAATGAATTTTTTTTAAAGATTTTATTTATTTATTTTGACAGAGAGAGAGACACAGCGAGAGAGGGAACACAAGCAGGGGGAGTGGGAGAGGGAGAAGCAGGCTTCCCGCGGAGCAGGGAGCCCGATGTGGGGCTCCATCCCAGGACCCTGGGAGCATGACCTGAGCCAAAGGCAGATGCTTAACGACTGAGCCACCCAGGCGCCCCACCAATGAATTTATTTTTCATTAAATATATTTTCAGCAAAAACATGCATAGCTATTAATTTTCATTACAGTTTGTGGAGTTCTACTCCACCTCCTTGAGGGTAGAGTATTTACATAAATCTCTTGGAACTCTTCTGTTAAGGAGACTTGCTCCTCATTCAATATTTATTGATATCAGTATGAACTCATTGATGTTTAATATATACCTTGGGTTATGATCCAGAACTACTTGATATTGTCGCTCAAATTGTCACTGCTCTGCCAGGCCATGTGTTCTTACATGTGCTTGGCAGAAGCAAGAACAAAAGAAAACAAAAAGACAAAACTGAGTGTTTACTGTGTGCAGGCGTTCTCTTGGGTCCTTCTTCTCTTTGAAACTTACTTTAGCAGCACTCAGTGTCTGAATTCCTTGTACCCGCAGGAGCACAAGTTCTAGTTTTCTAACCAGATGGTGACTTTACACCAGTTACCTAACTTCTCCGAACCCCAGTTTCTTAATCTGTAGGATAAGGATAATGCCTATTTGCAGGGTTGGGATGAGGATTAAATCGATAGTTTATGAAATTATTTGCTCCACAAAAGGAGGAAATGAATCTAATTATATGAAGTGCTTGGAATAGTCAGCCTTAGAAAGGAGAATGGTGGTACCAGGAGCTGCAGGAGAAGGGAATGGGGAGTTTGTGTTTAATGGGACGGAGTTTCACTTTGGGACGATGAAAATGTTCTGGGGGTGGATAATGGGGTTGGATTCACAACAGAGTGAATGTACTTAAGGCTGCTGAGTTGTATGTGAAAATGGTTAAACCGGTAAATGTTGTTATGCATATTTTACCACACAGAAATATATGCTCATTGCTGAAAATTTAGAAAACGTTTTTTAAGTGTTTTAAATCCTTACTGGGGCGCCTGGCTGGCTTTGTCAGTGCAGCGTGGGACTCTTGATCTCCGAGTTGTAAGTTCGAGCCCCATGGTTGTAGAGATAAAAATAATTTAAAACATCTTTTAAAAAAATCCTTGGTCATCCCAGTACTCAAGTGGCCACTTCTGTTTTGTCATTTGTAGCCCAACCTACTCATTCAATTTTCTTCTTTTAATGTTATATGTATGTATTTCCCCAGGCTGTTCAAAATTCAACAACCATTTTTATTAGCTGCATGATATTCCACCATCACTGATTAGTCGTTGCCGTGTTTTGGCATACTTTTCAGCATTATAAGTAACACTGTGATGAACATCTCTCTGTGAATTAATACATCTTTAATATAGACCCAGAAGGAGAATTACCGAGCCAAGAGGTGATCATTTTTAAGGCGCGGGGTAACCTGACTACATTGTCACAGGCTACCTGAAAGACACTCGTTTTAAGGCACCCAAGGGGTTGTCCAACGTTAAATATAGTACTGTATGGTTGTAATGTTGTCTGCTAATGTTGTTCTTTGACACTGCCCTCCCCCTCTGTTATACTCAGTGTCTTCTTTAATCATTTGTATGAAATTGTACATAGTAAGGTTATTAATTTTCCCTCTCTGCCTTTACTTAGGTTTAATTATTGCCAAACATCTGTTGCTTTTAAGAAAACAAAATGTGGAAATATTTTTATTTCTTAAGTTCGTTGATTTTTTTCCCATAGAGCACATGTAAATTCCCATAAATCACAAACAGCAAGCTCCAGTTCTCAAACGCAGCGTCAGTGGGGCGCGAAGGAGCAGATGCTATTTAAGCAAGTCGTTCCCGTCCCCCCCACCCCCCGCCCCGTCCCCCGGGTCCAGGCCCAGGTCTGTCGCCGGGGCAGCTGATAAACCAGCATTCCTTCCCCCTGACCCTGCGCTGGCGACGGTGGCAGCTGCGCTCGCGCGCCCCCTCGAGCTCTGCAGCCTGGGGAAGTGTCCTCGGGGCCGGGCATCGGCGGCTCCAGGCTCATCTAGGCGCTTTCTAATCGCGGCTCCGGGCTAACCGGAGGCAAATCCCTCGCACCCCCACGGGGAGTCGTGTTCTCTCCCAAGCCTCGCGACGGTGGGCCGCGTGCTGTCTTCTCGCTCTCCTCTCCGCGGCCTTCCACCGCCTGGAAGCGCAGCCGCGTTTCCACCCTACCCGGTTCGCGCAGCGCCGTCGGGGCGTCCCGGGAGCCCGCGCTCCGGCACCGCAGGGGAGGGCAGGTCCCGAGGGTCCCGAGACGTCTGTAGACGCGCCCCAAAACCCCGCGGCCGCTTAAAAGGGGTGGACGTGAGAGCCTCCGTAAATCTGGGCACCTAGACGCCCCCGCAGGAACCAGAAGAACCCTTTAGGGGCCGCGGGGAGCCCCCAGAGGGGCGGGAAGAAGCTAGGGACCCCTCCGCGCCCGGCGGGGGAGGCCCCTGGGCCAGCGCCCCGCCACCCCCGACCCCAGAGGGAGGGTGCCCTACAGAAACTCCCCCCTTCCCCGCACGTGTCCTCCTCCCCGCGTTTCCCGAGTCACTTCCCGCCGCCCATTCCCCAAGCTTCCTCGCCCTCGCCCCTGGCGACCCTCCCTGGGTTTCCTTTGTCCCCTCCACACCCTCGCCCCGAGCTTCCTGAGTCCTTTCCACGGATATTTCCCCCCTCCCCCATCGCACCCCCCCGCGCGGCGCCCCTTCTGGAGCTTTTCCCGTCCCCTCCCCCTCTCCGGCTTCCCCGTCCCTTCCCGGAGCCTCTCCAGCGCCCTCCCCGCCCCCTCCTCGGTCTCCCTTGTCCCCTCCCGCCCCGCCCCCGTTTTTAAACCTGGCGCCGAGCGCACTGGTAGGTGAGCGCCCTCGCCCGAGCGGTTAGAGGCGCGGCCGTGTCGCTGGCGCCGCGGGAGAGGCGCTGGCTGCGCGGGCACCATGAGACCCGAGGCGGCGGCCGGAGCCCGGGAGGCGCGGGGGCGCGTCTGTCAGTGTCCCGCGGACGGTCCCCGGAGGCCACCGCCGCCGCGCGGGCCCGAGAGGTGAGGGTGTCCCCGCGGTCCCCTGGACGCGTGGAGAGGCGCGCGGCGCGTCGGTGCGTCGGTGCGGCGAGCGCAGAGCGGGATGTTCCAGCGCCGCTGAGCCCCCCGGATCCGGGCGGAGCCCCGGAGCCCGACGGCGACGCCGCGCAAGTTCCTTAGCCTTAGACGGGGATGCACAGTCCTCTCTATTTTCCGCGCACGGTGCCGAAGTGTGGAGGCCCAGGAAGCGCCCCGCGAGTAAATGGGCCAACGCTTCCATTCATAGATCTGAAATTCACTGGGCTGGGAACGTTGAAGTCTCGGGGCCTCTCAGCTAGCCTTGTTGCAGGGGATCCCCTCACCACGCGGACTGTCACACTCTCGATAACAGTCTTTGTTTGGCCGGCGCTTGGGGCTCAGCCCTTTCAAGGTAGTACAGTTAAAGTGAGGAAGGGGCTGGGTGGTTAGGCAGCCAGAGTGGAGAAACCCATCCCCAACCCCACCCCCCTTTCGCATCGTAGAACCCTCTGGAATCATCTCTGCAGGGTCAAGATCCTTCAACAGCAGAGGGGGTGCGGTTGAAATTAATGAGCAAAAAAGTCGCCACCTACAGTAGGGAATCAATTGAAGAATCCAGTCAGGTTGGGAGAGAAATCTCTCAACTAATGTGTCCCCTGATAATTGCATCAGATTTGGGACTTCTCAAAGCCAGTGAAGGCAGAGAACTGAGAATGCGGCAGGAGGAAAAAAAAAAAAAAAAAAACGCAAATGGCACGGGTTTATCCACAGACTGAGAACTTGAGAGAACTTTCTGCGGTATCCAGTGACTCTTTCTCAGGCAAACATTGGAATTGATAAGAATGATAACTCTTATGATATACTTTTAAAAGACAGCAGAAAATTCTGGGGTTCACCTCTGGTCCCTGCCTTTCCAGCCCCACACCATGGAGACCTTGGATCCTCACACCCCAAGAAGCTGAGCTGACCAGAGCCGGAAGCCGGGTAAGGTGAAGGTGGGCATTGTGGTATCGAAGGGTTCAGCCAGAAAGTGGCAACTAAAAAATGACCATGAAAGGCCTCCTCAGCTTGTCCCTCCCTTGGTCCTCTAATGCCGAAGTGCCTGTGGGCCTGGGAGAGGGAACCTGGGTGAGCCTGCTGTTGATCAGACCTGATCACATGTATAGATGGGGCTCCTGCTTGCTTCTTTCTTGAAAAGCAAAACCACTATGGCATAGCTCTTTCAAGGGCATTTTAAAGAGAGTTCTAGAAAAGAGCATTTCCCAAAACTTCCCATTGAGAGAGATTTCTTTATGTTGAGTCGTCCCCCCCCAGGGCAACCCAGCAGGTAGAGAGAGGAGGGGAGAAGCTTGCCCCAGTCTCCCTTCTGAGTGTGCCATTACTGGTGGGCTTGTACCACAGTGCAAATAAGGGCAGAGACCAGTCTGGGGTGCCCAGAAGCCCCCACCCACCAGCTGGCCCTTTCTGAAGCACTTTTGCCCAGTCTGCAAGCACTCCTGGGGTAATTCATGTTGTCTGAGCAAATACACTCCAGCCGAGGGCTTTGTGGGTAAAGATTAATCTCCACCACAATTCTTTTGTTTCCTGCATTAGTAACTAAATTGCTTTATACTTGTTGAAGTAATGGCTTGCTTTCATAGAATTTACCTTTCCTTTTTTAAAAAATCTTAAGTTGTAAGTTGATGACTTTTATAATGCTGAAGAGCTAATCAGGCTGGGAAGGACCATGTATTTAATTTACCAAACATGTGGTATATGTTATGTGGGCAGTTATTTGTAATATGATAAGAAACTCAGGTGCACGAAAGCTGACCTTTGACTGTATTTTGATATTCAGACTACTTTATTAAATTAGCCCGGATAATGGAAGTTTTAATTGTTGCTGTTATTTTAAAAATGAAACAAATACAATCTATATCAAATTAACAAGGGATATGATTTTGTAGCCTAAGTTACTCTTAAATATGTGCAATATCTAAATAATGGAGAATAATTAACATCTTTTGCATTCAAACTTAAGGTCTTAAACATCAGCCCTTTAAAAGGTGCTTGGGAGAGGGAGAAATTACAGAAGTTCACAATTATCCAATTTTTTGTTAAATGAAATGTATATGGAGCCTATCAGTTGTTGCAGGAGTAAAAATACAATAGCACAGTATAGTATACAAGGCAGTTGGGTTTTTTCCTTATGGTGAGAAGGATACTTGTGAGAAAAATGATTACTTGCAGGAAAGTGTTCAGCTGTAGGAAGTTGCTAGGTGATCGTCAGCATGGCACAGTTGTGTCCGTGGATTTTGGGAGTGGGGGTGCTCTGAGGGGGCTGTACCGCATAATGCCCCGCTTGTCCGGCCAGCTCTTTCCAGAGCCCAGCGGGCCAGGCGGAAAGGACAGTAGCGGGCGACCGCTGGTTCTAGGTACCGCGCACTGTTCCGGGAGCCCAGGCAGGGAGAGCGCAGCCTGGCGCGGGGAGGGAACGCTTCTTGCTCAACAGCGCCCTCTCCCGACAACACGGGAGAATCCCTTGGCTCCAGAGCCCGGTTGTGTATTTCCCCCGAGAAATTCGAGGGCTGGGTTCAAGGCCCTATGCCCTGAGCACTGGGGTCACCCTCACCCATTTAGTACCCCTACCTCCCTTTGGGAGCTGTCTTCCTCTCCTGCTTGGGGAAATGAAGGACAGCCTAAGCCTTTGTTGACCTCTGTTACATTTCGCTCCTGGCCACTTGCCCACCTTGCAAGGGAGGGGATTTCCTAAAAAGAGGTGTCTACTGGGTTCATCCTCCCATTTTACAGGCTTCCCACACCATCGCTTTATCGGGGTCAGAGGCTGCATGGGGAGGAGAACGGGAGACTCTAATGAAAGTCGGCTTGTGTCTCTTCTCTTACTCCTACGGACACACACACACACACACACACACACACACACACACACACACACCTTTCCTTGTATACATTCCTGATCCCCTTGAATTATCCAAGTGTGAATGTGTAGACATTTCTGTCATCAGCAAATGATCTTTAATTGGAAGACATTTGTGGCATACAGTTTTTAAAGCTATGTATGTTGGGGGTAAAGTTTTACAGTTTTTAAAGGCGTATTGTATGTTTCACAGAGTCTGGTTAGAATTACTCACTTAAAGGAAGCTGTTTTTCTGTGCTAACACTGCCTTTTGGTGTCCACCAAAGTTTGCACTGTGGCATTAGATGTGCTCCCCTCACAGGATATAAAGTCACCTCTGACAACCCAGGATGGCTTACTGTGGTAGTGAGCAATTAGGGGTATTTCATAATTACAAACAGAACCTAACACGGACATGATTCTCCGGAGTCCTCAAAAAGCGAACTTCATTTTGGAAAAGATTTTGTTCCAAGAGCCTCATTTTCTTTCCTTAACTTCACTCACCCAGGCATGTTGTAAAAAATACGGTTGGTAAAATATATTGACATTTGCTCACAAAGGCCACACGCCTATCACTGCGGGATAGAATGGGTGTGATGATCCTTGGTGACAAACCATCCTCCTGGTCCTTCCTTGTCCTGCTCTAGCAGATTTTGTCTCACTCCCGATCTGGTTTCTGCTAAACTCCATGCAAACCCAAGGGCTAGGGTTTCTGATCCATTGCCCCAGGCCATTTCAGCTCACTTTCAAGCTGTTCCTGGATGGTCTGTCCCAAGACGCCCCACTTCCCGCTTTCCATAGTAACTAAAATTTTCAGAGCTCTGAGATCAAATGACAATTACCAGCTTTGCAGCCTCTCAGATCATCTGACCACAGTTCAGGCCAAGTTCACTGAGATTCAGGACCTCACGAATTTGGGTAGAATGGGGTCAGTCCTGGACAGGCAGGTGTGACTGTCCCTTCACCTCCCTAGCGCCGATGCTGGTCACAGCATGGACAAGCCTGGCTCTCTCTCTCCCTCTCTTTCTGCTTGTATCCTATCTCCATCCATGTTGCCCTTAGTGGCTCAGACTGGCTTCCCTTTCCTCCACTCGTGATATTCAAGTGGTCAAGGGGTTTTTTGAATACTACAGAAGCGCCCTTGGGATCCATCTTTCCTTGCCTTCCTGTCACTGTTCAGACCTTTATCCCTTCTTGCCCCGTGCCTCTGAGCCCTTACCGCCCCAATCTAGGCTGTGCACTGCTCCCTGGGGCCGCCATTATCCTTAAAATACAGATCTGACTGTTGAACTCCTGGCTCAAAAACCAGCACTGGGCTCTAGTGCTGTCTCCAGAATGAAACCTAGGCTCAAAAGTAGGTATTCAAGGTATCCTGTAATCGGGACTCAGCTTCCTGCTGGAGCCCCTTAAATAACACAGCTTCTCCTTCATTCCACCCTGGGCTCCTCACCTTTCCCTACCTATGCCCTCTGTTTTCTGGTCCCTCAGAATTTGATGTTCCCCTCCGCCAGGAATGGTCTCAGACTTGCACACCCAAATGCTACTGATGTCTCTGCTAGGCCCTCCGTGAAGCTTTTCTTCCTCCCTGCCTAGAAGCGTTGGCATCTTGCTGTACAAGGCTTTGTGGTGTAGTCATTTGCCTACGTGTGTGTCTTTTCCCGTTAGGTTGAAAAAACCTGAACTGCAGGACTGTGTCAGACTCATCTTCCCATCTTTGAATCCCTCACAGTGCCCAGGCCATTGCTGACAACAGGAAGAGAAAGAGGGGCTTATCAAATACCCTGAGGGTGTTTAAACTGTCTCTAAAACTGGTATTGATACTAAGAAGTTCAGACTACTTGGATTTTCTTTTTTTAGAATTTCCGGATGCTAAGGTTCTTGACTATGAGGTTTTTGACCATATCTGTGTCTGTACGTGTCTGTCTTTACAGCTTGAACCTGAAGGTGACCAACAAGCTCCGGGATCAAAGGGGGCCTTTGGGTTTCAGCATCCTGTAAGGTAACACGACCTGACAGTAATAAATAGATTATTTCCTTTTAACAGAGGCATAAATACACTTTAGTGTCTTCAACTGTGCACATTCCCAACAAAGTAGAAAATAATTCGGTATATTCCCTAATATTTAGTTATTATCCCAAGAAACTTCAAGGATCTTTTGTTGGATTTCTGGAATCTATTCTGGAATCATTCATTCATTAATTCATTCAGTGTTCTAGTTGCAAATTGGATTGACCTCTTTCCTTTGTCTTTTGTTTTTACCTCTCATTACATATTATGTCTTGTGTTAAATTCAACGGAATATGAATTGTATACGGGTGTCTGCTTATCTACTTAAATATTTAAGCCCATTCCAATTTCTCTCCCAGGATATCAGTTAGTATATTGTCCAGAGCAAAGTAAACCTTCAAAACGTGTGTGACCAAATGAGGGGTCGGGTGGATGGCTCCACCACGGTTGGCTCCTCCAGGCTTTCTGAGCTCCCGCAGTCCTGGGGGTGATCAGGACCTGCACTGCTGTGTCCCTCTTACATTTCATCCACTTTGGGCAGGTGGCTCATGCTCAGGATTTGTATCTGTTTCTCTGTCTCTTTCTCTCCCCATCCTGGAAGAGTATTTTTACCCTGGTTATCCTGGAAGACCGAAACTTTAGTAAAATCCAAAGATCCTAATTGCTAGAGATAAAATCGAAAGTCCTTCAGACTGGTCAAAGAGTGATTTTTGGAAAAGGGAAACTTTCCTTGTGCCCCTGACACCAGTGGTCTTTTTTCCCCACAGGATCACTCGGGAAACTTTAAAAATGCAGACGCTGGGTGGCCCCCCGGGGGTGCTGACGCACTCGGTCTGGGCAAGGCCTACGTGTCTGTATTTTCACAGGCTCCCTGGCTGATCCCAGCATGCGTCGGGGTTGAGGGCCACCATCCTCCTTCATGCCCTGTGAGCACCACCTGCCCTGCACACCCATGCACCTGCTTACCACAGACACCCTGCTGCTCCCCAATGTTTGATTCACTGAAAATGCAAGGACTGGTGAAGCATGCATTACAAACCAAGGACGCAGGTTTATTCTATCTTTTTATTACAAAAAATTTCAAACTTACACACAAGTGGAGAGAATAGTCTCTCCCCGCCTCCACATGCCCATCTCCAGCCTTAATAATTATCAACAGTCTTCAGATCTGATCGTGAGTATCACCCTCTCCCAATTATGTTTTTATTATTGTTAGAATATTTTTTTGAGATTTATTTATTTTTTTAAAAGATTTATTTATTTGAGAGAGAGAATGAGATAGAGAGAGAGCACATGAGAAGGGGGAGGGTCCGAGGGAGAAGCAGACTCCCCGCCGAGCAGGGAGCCCGATGGCGGGACTCGATCCCGGGACCCCAGGATCATGACCTGAGCCGAAGGCAGGCGCCCAACCAACTGAGCCACCGAGGCGCCCGAGATTTATTTATTTGCGGGAGAGAGAGCACGAGTAGGAGGGGCAGAAGGAGAGGGAAAGAGAGAATCCCAAGCAGACTCCCCACTGAGCACAGAGCCCGACCCTGGGCTCAATCTCACGACCCTGAGATCCTGACCTGAGGTGAAACCAAGAGTTGGATGCTTAACCAACCGTGCCCCCCCAGGCGCCCCTGTTGTCAGAATGTTAAAGCACTTCCAGACAGCCTACAAGTTCAAATTCCCCTGTAAATACTTCAGCATTACAGCTAATTTTTAATATGGCCAAACCCTAAACTATGTTTATGTTTCTGTCATTATTTGTATTTTATATAATATTCTGTATATATAATACATATATTATATATAATATATAATTATATTCTGTCATTATTTGTATTTTATATAATATAGATATATATAAAAATTTAATATATTTACTATATTTATATATAATAATATATATCCTATATATAGAAATTATCTATCTATCTATATATATATATATATAATGGTTTTCTTTTTCTCTGTTTGTTGCAGAGATCCTCAACCCTAGCACTATTGACACTTTGAGCTGGATAATTCTTTGTTGTAAGGGGCTGTGGTGGGCATTATGGGATGTTTACCAGCATCCCTGGCCTCTGCCCACTACATGCTAGTAGCTTCTCCTCAGTTGAGGCAACCAGAACTGTCTCTAGACATTGCCAAATGTGCTCTGAAGGTTGAGAATCCCTGGCTTATCAGAAATCTTAGGAAGTTTAGAATTGTCATGCATTATTTATAGTAGGGCATTCTCTCTCCCTCTCTCTCTTTTCTTTTCTATCCAAAAAGAGAGAAATTGCATTCAGCTTTGCAGGGGTGCATGGCTGGCTCAGTTGGTAGAGTGTGTGACTCTGGATCTCGGGGTTGTAGGTTTAAGCCCCATGTTGGGCATAGAGATCACTTAAAAATAAAAAAGAAATCAGCTTTGCAAATAAGTAGTGGTCAAATGATAATCCCTCTCAGTTCCTCAGAAGACCTCAGGAAAAAATGCAAATAAATTAGTGAAAGGCATAAGAATAAGGGGTTATGGGGAGAGTGAAGGGTATTTTAAATACTTTCCATGTATAACTGTAATCCTAAATTCTACATAACCTGAATTTAGAGTTCCAAGTTTATATATTTAGGTTCTTTCCCTTCCTTCCTTCCTTCCTTCCTTCCTTCCTTCCTTCCTTCCTTCCTTCCTTCCTTCCTTCCTTCCTTCTTTCCTTCCTTCTTTCCTTCCTTTTTTCCTATTCTTTAGACACATAGTCAGGGTTACCGTTTCTGTTCTGGCAAAGCTAGGAACCCACCCCTACAGCTTCTCTGTAGCAATGTCCAGAAAAATTAGCTGCTTCTCTAGACTGCGGTTCCAGAGTCATATTTCCCCCAGAGCCCAAAGGCCACAACATTCCCCGTCCTTGGGGGTGCTAGGGGGAGTGGGGCCTAACCTAAATAAGACATATATTCTCCAGGATAAGTGACGTTCTCTGTTTGATCAGACTGAGACTCTTCATCTTGAAACTCAGTGTTTTAATTTCCTTTTACCTTCATGGAAGCACACCCTTTTTCCTGTGGTGGTCTAAATCGATCTGCTCACTCCAATTATAGCTTGTTTCTGAACTGCTGGGTAGGGTTCCTTTTGCCAGGTCTCTCCACCTGCCCACGTTTTTGTGTTCTGATGATTTAGAAAACACTCTGTGCAGCAGAAGGCAAGATCAGAGAGGGAGATTGGGAGTGAGATGCCTCTAGGGAAGGGGACCTGCTAGATGGAGGTTAGCCTGTTTCAGGGTGATTAATGGTGTATTTGTTTCTTAAATATTAGACTTTATTTACCCATTTCAAAGCGCCAAGAGTATCTGCAGAGTTCTGGGGAAAAAGTGCTGGCCAGTTTCCCAGTGCAAGCCACAATTCATTTCTACAATGACGAATCTGGTTCAGATGATGAAGAACAAGAGGAAGAAACCCAGTCTTCCAATCTTCAGAGTCAGGCGGAGAATGGCCCAGGAGGGAAGGACAGAGGTCAGCTGACAAACCCAAGATGGAGTTCTGTAGGACAGAGTGGCCTCGGTGGTAAGGGTCGACTCCCTCATGGTGACTCTCTGGGGGGCACAGAGTGTGCCTCGCCCAAATAAATGGGGTATCTCTCCCACACCAGACTTGGCTCACATGCGCTCTTGGGGACAGCTGTGCATTTCCCCTGGTATACAGCGTTTGGGGACTATCTCTGGCCAACAAGAACTTAGCTTGTAACTTTTCCTGCTCCTGGAGGTTCTCTTCAGGGCACTCATGCATACCACTGAGAAAGGAACCAGGAGGTTTGTGTTGACATGGGTTGTTATCAGATGGGACCAACTTTCAAGGCACATTCATATTGTCACTCTGCCATCCAATGACAGATTATTCCAATATAGATTAATAACCCACCGATGCCTCTCACTTCACCTCAGACTCATTATGTAGCTATTTCTGCTTTTGTAAACAAAAGGATTTAGACATTGTCCAAGGGTGGATGTGTTTTCTTAGTGGCATTTCAAAAAAATTTATGAAAAATAAAACTGAATAACTTCCATAAGAGTAACAAAAACTTTAAATATGGATTTCTAGGGGAATAATTTCGGTTTAAAATTTATGATCCTTGTCTAAGGGCTGAGCATATGAAGATATAGAGAAAAGAGCTTTAACTCTTAGTTGGGAACTGGTTTGGGCTTGTTACTTGAATAAAATAACACTGTTTTCAATCAAATTATCTAATATAAAATTATTTTCTTTTTTTATATTTTGATGATCAAATGATTGTGTTCCACAAGTTTGTTACTTAACTATCTTATATATGATTGTCTTCCTATATATAGTTCTTTAATAAGTTTATACTTGAAATAAATATTTTGAAAGACAAAATGTTTGATAATCACCTTTTTTGTTTAAGACAATTTATTTGTTTATTTACTTATTTAGATTTTATGTTTTTAAGTAACCTCCACACCCAACATGGGGCTCGAACTCACAACCCCGAGATCAAGAGTCACACGTGCTCTACCCACTGAGCCAGCCAGGTGCCCCATGTTTAAGGCAATTTTAGATTTAATTAGTGCCTGCTTTAAAGTTTTTATAAGTTTGGATGTTTTCATATTTAACTCTTCAAATGATATTGTTTTTAAAAATAAAAAAATGTATAAAAAGAAAGCAAAAGGGATTATAACCTCAATGCCCAAAAAGTCCTTTAAACATTAATAGTAAAAAAATTGGAGTAATACATGCAAATATTTTAACAATCCAAACAGCATAGAGAAGTATACATTTGCAAAGTAAAAGTCACCCTTTCCTGTTTTCCTCTTTCTCTGTGCAAAGGTACCTAACATCAATTGTTTCTGATTGCTCTGCCCCTTTAAAAACTACTATTTATAGGGTGCCTGGGTGGCTCAGTCGTTAAGCGTCTGCCTTTGGCTTAGGTCATGATCCCAGGGTCTTGGGATCGAGTCCCACACGGGGCTCCTTGCTCAGTGGGGTGCCTGCTTCTTCCTCTGCCCTTTCCCCCTGCTTGTGCTCTCTCTCTCTCTCTCTATGACATAATAACTAAATAAAATCTTTTTTAAAAAAGTATCCATATGCCCCAAAATGCCCCCTTCCCAGCAATGAGCCCAGGCCCCTTCCCCACCTCCCTGTCCCGGTGACTGGGCTGCTTTGCTCAATGGGAATTATTTACACTGACCACGGGCCACATGACACTATTCTTACCTGTTTCTGTAGCATGTCCTGCCATGCTAATTATATAGACTCTACTAAGATTTTTCCATTATTTTATTTTGGACCCTGCATGATCAACTGAAATCAGAGGGATTTTTTTGTTTGTTTGTTTTTTGGGCAACTTAGTTTTAATCACCTTTTCCTCCTTGTAATAGCTCATTAAAGAGGAAAACTACCTGTTTTTCTGTGTCTGCATGAGTCATTTTTGTAGAATTGCTGGTGAAAAACCAATGCATAAATAGGTAATTTTTTATGATGCTTAGAAAAATGATGGATATTTATAAAAACAACTTGAACTCCCTTGGAATTTGCTGGGCAAATCTAAAATATGATATCATTATAATATTCCGTTATACCATTACATGGCAACTTTTACAAGCAGATTTTATTTTTATTTTATAGTTTGAAACATTTCAAAAAATGCTCAGCATCATTGCCATTACAGAAATGAAAAATGAGAACAATAGATACTGTCAAACACCTACTAGAATGATTAAAATTTTTAAAAGACAGGGCGCCCGGGTGGCTCAGTCGTTAAGTGTCTGCCTTCAGCTCGGGTCATGATCCCAGGGTCCTGGGATCGAGTCCCGCATCGGGCTCCCTGCTCCACGGGAAGCCTGCTTCTCCCTCTCCCACTCCCTCTGCTTGTGTTCCCTCTCTCGCTGTCTCTCTCTCTCTCTGTTGAAAAATAAATAAGATCTTTAAAAAAATTTAAAATTTTTAAAAGACAGACAACGTGGAATAACTAGAAGCCTCATACATCACTGGTGGGAATGTAAAATGGTTAAGAGTTTGGAAAACAGTTTGGCAATTTCATTAAAAAGTTAAACACAGGGGCGCCTGGGTGGCTCAGACGGTTAAGTGTCTGCCTTTGGCTCAGGTCATGGTCCCAGGGTCTTGGGATCAAGCCTCACATCGGGCTCTTGGCTCAGCGGGAACCCTGCTTCTCCCTCTCCCTCTGCCTCTCTCCCTGCTCATGCTCTCTCTGTCTCTGTCTCTCTGTCTCTCTGTATCTCTGAGTCTCAAATAAATAAATAAAAATCTTTAAAAAAAATTTCAACACAGATTTATGACACAAGCCAGCAATTCCATTTGTAGGAGTCTACCCAGGAGAAATGAAAACATTTGTCCACAGAAAGACATGTACACCAATGTTCATAGCACCTTTATTTGTAATAATCCCAAACTGAAAAAAATCCAAATGCACATCAACTGGTGAATGGATAAATAAAATGTGGTCTATCCGTTCGATGGGATAAAATTCAGTAATAAGAAGGGATAAAATGTAATATTAGTGCATGCTAAAACATGAATGGACCATGAAAACATGATGCTAAGTGAAAGAATCCAGATGCCACAGACTACACTGCATGATTCCTTTGTATGAAATGTCAAGAAAAGACTTGCAGTATGCTTGGAAAGAGAGTCGTTGTCCAGGAACCAGGTTGTGGGGTCTTGTGTGGCAAGCTCGGGGCACCCGCCTATCTAGAGGACAGCGGAGAAAAGCATGATGGAGTTTTGAACAGGAGAGTGATATGAACAGGTTTGTGTTCTGAGCAGTCTTTCCGTACTGAGGCAGGTCTGAGTATAAGAAAACCAGACAGGAATCTGTCACAGTGATGAGAGATGCTGACTTGGACCCTGGGAGGAAGGCAAGAAAGGAGGACACCTACTTGAGGATGTACATTTCTTTTTTTTTTTTAAAGATTTTATTTATTTATTTATTTGAGAGCGAGAAAGAGAGAGAGAGAGCACATGAGAGGAGGGAGGGTCAGAGGGAGAAGCAGACCCCCTGCTGAGCAGGGAGCCCGATGCGGGACTTGATCGTGGAACTTTCCAGGATCATGACCTGAGCCAAAGGCAGTCGCTTAACCAACTGAGCCACCCAGGCGCCCGAGGATGTACATTTCTGTATGTCCATTTCTGAGCACTCTTTGTTGGGGTGGCTGAATTGTAGAAGATGCACCTGCTCACTAGATAACTAACTGCCCGTTGCTCTCCAAATTCATGCTGGCCATTCATGCAGGCGATGTTCTTTAGAACACCCCAGCTAACTCCCTATTCTCTCTGTCTTCCTATAGCGCAATTTCCTATCACCTGCTCCATGAAGGAGATCTATTCTCTGATTGTGGCTAAAGAAAATCAAAAGCTTCATGTTAAGCATGTGATTTCCCCTCTCCTCTCCCACTGTGCCCGAGCTCCTCAGCAGATTGGAAGGCGTGCTGCCTCCTTCCTAATAGTCCTAGACCAGAAATCTAAGCATGCAAGAAAAAACAAAGGGAAAAAGACAAAAGGCAAATCTATAACAATAATTATATATAAAAATGCATTATATATAATAATATCATATATATACTTATATATTGAATATAATTATAATTGTAATATATATTACATAATGCATTATATATAGTATGTATATGCATATAATGCATAATGGTTGCTCAGCACTGGGACCAGGTGCCTTTCCATGACAGGGATTGACTGTTGATGGGTGCAAAGAAGCTTCTTGGGGTGATGGAAATGTTCTAAAACTGGATTATGGTGATGGTTGCACAATTCTAGAAATTTACCAAAATTATTGAATTGTGCAGTGCCGTGAATGGGTAAGTATATAGTACATAAGCTACACCCCCAATAAAGCTGTTTAAAAAAAGCTTAGACTCTTCTACTAAAACAATATTTGAATTTTTTTTTAGCCACTGAACCAATTAACAAACAATCTTTTTTGTCATGAAAAAAATTTATATATTTTAAAAAAATTTTTTTTAGATTTTATTTATTTATTTGACAGAGAGGGACAGAGCCAGAGAAGGAACACAAGCATTGGGAGAGTGGAAGAGGCAGAAGCAGGCTTCCCGCAGAGCAGGGAGCCCGATGTGGGGCTCGATCCCAGGACCCTGGGATCATGACCTGAGCCTAAGGCAGACACTTAACCGACTGAGCCACCCAGGCGCCCCTATTTTTTAAAAAAGTAATCCAAAGGAGAAAGCTCTAAGTAAATTGTTTGGTTTCTTAGTTTTTGACTCTCTGGGTTTCTCAAGGTCCTGTCTTCTGCACACTTATAGTGCCCTCTGAGCCATCCATCACAAAAAAGGTGATGAGGTCTCAGGTGTATGTTCAAGATGATAGCTTCAGTTCCAAAGAAAGACACTATGGGGAGACCATTTGCTGAGACCCAGGTCATCATAAAGCTAGATCTTTCTGTGAGCATCTTAAATTACTTTAAACTCCAAGATTGCATTGTTGATCAATGTGGAAGAACTCTGAGCCAGATTTAAGTTAGGTGTAAGACTTGGAGCTCATTACCAACAATACCAAACAATAATGGTCACCAGCTGTCATAATTTGGGGTCTCTCCAACTACATCAACTACACCTGCAAATGCAGAAGTTTTACAGAGTTTTCTATGATATACTGATCC